CCTGAGCTGCTTCCTCCTCTCCAGAAAAGGCAGAATCAACATCTCCTGCTTGACCCAAATGCAGAGGGCTCAGCATTTTATTTGGCAACAAATGCAACTCAGTCAATGTGTACATTTTCCCTGGTTATCAAGAATTGAGAATTAATCAGATGTCCTCTTTGCCTGCATTTGTAAACCTAAGGCTCCAGGATTGCTAAGACTCTATTTGTACCCCAGCAAGGGCAATCCTAAATGAGAACAACCTGAAGTGCCTCCCACATTTATCCAACAGAGCATGACTGGAATGGTGAGGCTGCTCTGAGTAACAGCTCCCACCACAGCGACAGCAAACCCCCCTGACCTGCAGCTGCCTTGGGCAGGGCAGCCAGGGAGGAGCAGGCACGAAACAGAGCCCAAATTCCATTGCAGGCTGGCCCTAAAGCTGCTCTGAATGCTGGTGAAACCCCAGAGAATCTCCAGCTGCCACCTGGGCTGGGGCAGTGCTTGGGCCAGGGGACAAGGGGCTTTACAGGGGATTTACAGGGAATTCAGAGATTCCCAGACTGGTCTGGGTGGGAGGGACCTTAAAGAGCACCCAGTGTCACCCCTGCCATGGCAGGGACACCTCCCACTGTCCCAGGTGCTCCAAGCCCTGTCCAGCCTGGCCTTGGGCACTGCCAGGGATCCAGGGCAGCCACAGCTGCTCTGGGAATTCCATCCCAGCCAGGAATTCCCAATTCCCAATCTCCCATCCATCCCTGCCCTCTGGCACTGGGAGCCATTCCCTGTGTCCTGTCCCTCCAGGCCTTTGCCCAAAGCCCCTCTCAGTGTTTCAGTGTCTGAAGGCATAAAACTGTCCCAACACTGTTCAAAATGTGAAATAAAGGCAATCCTGCCTTGGAACAGCCAAGCACAAAGGTGTCACTGATGATGCAATGAATTCCAGGGAGGCTCCCCAGTATCCCCCAGTCCCACCCAGGCCCAGAGCAGCTGCAGTCACTTCTGTCTTTTCTCCCTTGGGACAAACACATTTCCTGTGCCCCCACACCACCAATGCAGTGTTGGCTTTTTACAGGTTGTTTTACTGGGCTGACATTCCCAATCCCAGCAGCAACTTAAATCAGTGCAAACCTGAGGCCAGGGCTCTCACACCCTCATGCTGGGACTCCTGGATTCTGTATTCATCTAAACCTCAGTGTTCTGCTGAAAAAACATCCCTCAGGAGACTGGGAGTTAGGCTGGACTTCACGGAGTATAAAAAACATGAGTGGAAACCCAGGATGGTTTCCTGATGCAAAATGAGCTGGTGTTGGGTGGGACAGACCCAACCTGCAATTCTTGGTGTTCCAGAGCAGAAAACATCTCAGGGAGAGGCCGAGGCAGTGAGAGAAGGCAGAAGTGAGGGCAGTGCTGAAGGACATCCCTGCTGGCAGTGACACTGCTGGAGGTGACACTGGGGACAGATAAATGCCAATAAATCACACAACACTCAGGAGTCACACCTGTCCCCAGGGCTGGGAACAACCTGGCCAGGGAGATTTGATTCCTGAGGGAGCTGGGCAGGTGCTGGGGCTCAGCTCTGAGCAGGACTAATCTGCAGCCAGGATCTCCTGGCTGAACATAAATACCCATCCTGGGCACGCCAGGGCTTGGACTGGGAGCATCTTTGGGGCAGCTTTTAAAATGAAATTGAAATAAAATTAAACTACATGTGCCATCACCAGAGGGGCTTAAAGGTCCCTTCCAATCAAACCACCCTGGGATTCTGTGATCACACAAACACCCACCTGTCTGCAAGGAAGAAAAGTAAGTTTCATGTACAATTCTACTAATTCTTTCTATTAAAAGAACACAAGAGGAGCAGATATTTAGCAAAAAATCCCACAACCCTGGGTGGGCAGAGCCAAGGAAGTCTGCTGTAAGTGGAGATACCATACAAATGATTGGGATCAGGCTGCACAATTCTTAAGGTATTTTTAGGCCGATAAAAGGTGCAAGTGACAGAATTTGTTGCCCCAGGTGTGAGCACCGAGGTCAGGGTGAACAGGCAGAGCAGGCAGACAAAGAGAGGGGTTAACAAAAAGCAGGAAAAACCCTTTGTGTCAGATCAATGGATGCTCTGAGCACTGAGAGCTGCAAGGGGAGTGCTGGGATGAGGCTGATCAGGATCTCAGGACAGGAGCTGAGCCTGAATGAAATGCACAGGAGGGATTTGGCACCAGCTCCACCTTCCAGCCTGCACTGCCTGCTGGGGGAGTTATTTTTACTGTAACCACCTCTCTGCTGGTTAACAGGGGAGAGGGAAAAATCCTCAGCACGGAAAGCTGGAAAGCTTTTCAGGAGCATCTGAGGAATTTCTGTCTGGTTTCTCTTGCATCCTGAAAATCCTCTAAACTGCACATATAGAAAACATTCGTTGCATTTACTGCTTTGTTTACTCCCAGGAGAGGAAAAACCCAGAGATTAAAAGAGTAAAAACTACAAAGAGCAGAAAATAACTTTTTGAAATCTACGATACTGATGCCTGCGAGAGCTGTGCCAGCTCAGCTATCTCTGTATCAGCTCACCCAGACCTGTGACTGTGAGGACAACAAACAAGCTTTCATAATAAAGATTGCAAGAGCAAAATTTTAAACCAAATGCTAAAAAACCCTTGGCAATCTGAATAAACCATCTGCAAAGCACAACCCAGCCAGAACACTGGGAGCACTCCCATCTCAGCGACCTTTCCATCACTGATGCTCAGCCCCTCTGGGGAAAACATGTCAATCCACTTCAGATGAGGTTTTAAATGTTTTGTCTGATTTAAAGATCCCACAGAGCTGGGCTTTCAAACAGCTGTCCCTTGAGCTGGACAGAATTCACCAGCCAAGCCAAACTGGGGGTCCCAGTTGCCCAAAACATGAACCTTTTTGCTGATTTGTATTGTAGTTAAACCGTGGTGTCAGGGCAAGTGTTGGCAAATCCTATCACCCCCAAAAAACTGGGAAATGGAAAGTGTCAGCAAACACCATCACCCCCAAAAAACTGGGACATGAAAAGTACCAGCAAACCCCTAAAACTGTGACATGAAAGGTTTCATCAAACCCCACAAAACCTGGCACATGAAAGACGTCAGCAAACTCCCCAAGATCTGTGACATGAAAGGTGATGGCAAGCTCCTTCACCCCGAGAACTCTGACATGAAAGGTGTGCACAAATAATTCATTTTTGGTTATTTTCTCCTCCACATTTGCTGTCAACACCTCTTTACTCCTGCCATGTTTCAGTTCCCAAGACAACTGATGGCCCTCTCATGTTTGGGTACAAAATCAAGCCCAGGTGACCAGGGAACACAAGGGTCTGATCTGGGCCCAAGGGAACATCCCCAGGTGTCCTGTCCAGCCCTGTGGCTCAAGCCAGGACCACCACAGGGCAGCCAGGGGCTCCCACCTGCCTGCCAGGAGCTGACAGCTCTGCTCAGGCTCCAGGCTACCCGAGCTCATTAAAATCTGTCCCTGGAGCTAACCGTGAGGAACCAGGGAACACTGAGAGGATGGAAAGGGAAGGATCTCCCCATCCTCAACACTCCATCCCTGGAAGTGTCCCACGCCAGGCTGGATGGGGCTTGGAGCAGCCTGGGACTGGGGAAGGTGTCCTTGCCCATGGCAGGGGTGGCATGGATGGGCTTTGAGGTCCCTCCAGCCCAGCCCCAGCCCATCCTGGGATCCTGTGGTTCAGTGAACAGGTGAGACATGCTGGCAGAACACAGAGGGGAGTTTGTACTGCCCAAATGCTCCCCAAACATGAGGTTGGGAACTGAAGCATCTAGGGAGATCAGTGGAGAAAGCAGAACCCCCATTAGGCCCAGCAGTGCTGAGTGACCGATGGCTGGGGGGCCATGGCCAGAGCCCAGCAGTGAGAGCAGCCAGAGTGACCATGGGGTGTCACTCACACACCACAAAGCCAGAGGAGAGCAAACCCAGGGCTGTGAGAGCACAGCCCCTCGGGGCTGCCCTGCCCCGCTCAGAGAGCTCAGCTCACCCCAAGAGTTTTGGGGCTCCACCTGAGGAGCTCATTCCCTGCACACCTGAGCTGTACCCTCCCCTCCCTCGACAACGCGACCCTTCCCATTTCACATCAGCCCTCCCAGCTGGCTACAAGAGGATGCAAAAATTCTCTTGCAAATCTTTTGTCTTTATCCCCTGACACATTTTCTCTCTCTCGTTAATGCGGGCGGCAGACAAAGCACAAACACCGCGGTCGCATCCAAAATCTGGGAAAAAAGCAGGTTTATTGCTGGCTGGGGCTGCCAGGGGGGACACAGAGATGTTGTTCCAGGCGGGAGAACAAAGATTAACTACTCTTCTCACAGATTTTAAATCCGGGAAGAGTGACCTCATACACCACAGCACCATTGAAACAACAAACCCCACAGAACACAACAAGCTGCTATTGACCCTTGGAACGGGAACGGCTCCATTCAAACGGGGGGTTTGGGACAGAGCTTCCAGAAAGTGACAGGGAAATTCCACTTTGAATTTCAGCACCGGGAAGAGCTTAACTCCATAAATCATCGCACCCATCGCTCTTGTGCTCCCCTCAAACTGAGTGCCAGAAGCTTACGGGAAAAGCACAACCCGCAGATTTTTTTGGCAGGGGCTGAAAGGGTTTAACTTTGCTATCACCCTGCTCTCACAATGCAGCTCGTGATCTGGGGTACCTCTGCTCGGGGGAGGTGTGGCAGGAGGGGACCCGGGGCAGACCGGCAGGGACCCCTGTGGATGCCACGGATCTGAAAATGCATCGCTCAAGTTTAGGATCCTGACAACCCATTAACAGCTGCTGCTGCACCAGGCGCTGAGCAGCCAGCCAGGCAATTAATTTTCCCCTTCTCCCCTCCGTTTCTATCCGTACGGAGCCATCCTTTGTTCTGCCTGCCGAGCGCGGCGGCGCCGGGCTCCCAGGTGCGCTCTGAAGTCACTGAGCACTCCCAGCTCCTGTCCGCTCCCTGCCCGGAGAGGTAAAAATCAGTGACATACCATCACGTGGTAGATCTCCTTGCTTGGGAGACGGAGAGCTCTGCACATTGCTGACCTCGATTTCTTTCCTCTCCAGAGGAGCCGCTTTGCCGGGCTCCGGCTCGGCGCCTTTGCCTTTGGGAGCATCGAGCCCCGGCGCTCCATCGCCGCCGTCCCTCTTGTCCCTCTTGGCCGCCGCCTCCTGCCGCTCTTTGTCCTGGCTGCCGAGCTCGGGGATCTGCTCCAGCTTGCTGTGGAAGGCGCTCGGGCTGCCCAGCTCTCTCTTGAGCGAGTTGCTGCCGTTCCACTCCTCTCGCTTCTTGGCGGCCGGCTCCTCCCGCGCCGGGGCCGGGGGCTGCGCGCCGGGGCCGGGGCTCGGCGGGGCCGCGGGGCCGCCCAGCGCCGCCTGCTCCTCCGCCACCGTCAGCGAGCGCTTCATCGGGGAGCTCGGCTTGGCGGCCGTGGGGCTGCGGCTCTGGGTCAGGCTGCTATTAGGAGAGAGCAGCCCAGTGGCGACGTCTTCTCTAAGCACCGGCTCAGGGTATTTATCGGCCAGGTTAAGGGTTAGGGGCACCGACAAGTGAGAGCACTCTGACATCGCACGCCTCATCGCCTTCCTCTGGTGGGCAGCCCTGGCCAGCAAACTGCCCTCAGAGCCCAGCTGCTCCTCCATCTCCTCCTCCAGCTCGGGGCTCTCGCTCAGGTCGCTGCTTTTGGACTCGTCCTGGGCCAGCTCCACGGTGGTGGTCGGAGGGGCGGCTTTGGCCGCGGGAGCGGGGGAACGGAGCCCGCTCTGCCCGGAGCTCTCGTTAAGCACCCCCAGGACACAATAGCCGGGGGCTCCATCTTTTTTCACGGCCGCTTCTTTAGACCCCGAGTCGTTCGGCAGGATGGGCTGGAAATTGGGGTTCCAGACGCTGATTTCCTGCTCCTTCATGTATTTGCCGGCATCGCTCTCTGGCATGGAGAGATGGGGCAGCTTCGGCTCCGGCTGGCACTTGGTCTCCATCCCAGCCTTACCCACGGCTTTCTCCTGGTCGGTGATGGCTTCATTTTTACCCAGCCCGGGAGCGGCTTTTTCGGCTGCCGCCTGTCCCACGCGGAAATCGGTGGCTTTAGGGTTCCCGAAGTTGCCTTCAGCAGAAGGATAGGTTTCCGAAATCAGGGACCAGCTCTCAAGGTGACCTGCAGCCGCCTGGTATTTCTTGCCGGGCACCTCAAATTCTCTTTTGTCTTTCTGAGCTATTTTTAGCTCTTTGTCCAGCTTTCCCTCGAAGAAGCAGAGCTTGTCCTCATCCGTGAAACCGGCGTTCTTAACGAGCCCATCCTTAATCGGTCCCCCCGAGTTCACGTTCAAGCCAATCTCGTTAAGCTTCCCCTCGGTCCTCTGCCACTCGAATTCGGTTTTGCCGAAGTCCTTCGGGGACTCCATGCGGTGGAAGGCGGCCGGGAAGCTCTCGGGGCTCTTGCCCTTGCCCAGCGGGCTGTACTCGGGCTGCTGGTTGGAGAGGGACATCGCGGCGGCTCCGCGGCTCCGCTGCAGCGCTCGGCGCGCCGGGCTCGCTGCCGTGACGACACGGCGTGCCCCCGGTATTCGTGACAAACCCCGTCCTCCCCACCCCCTGCGCCGTCGCCTTCACTTACTGCAGGCAGCCACTAGTTCAAAAGAAACCGGCAGGTTGCATCCTTTTGTGGAGAAGCCTCAGGAATTCACTTGGGGAAGGCGAGCGCCCGGCCCCGGGCTGAGGCTGCCGGGGCTTTATCGGCTCAGGGGAAGGGTTCTGCTGTCAGCAGCCTTTGGGGGGTCCCGACACGTTTGGGGGGATTTCAGCCTCTCCCCTTGCTCTGCCAAGCTGTGCCGCGATCGATGCTGTGATCGGTATCAGTTCCTGCTGATGAGCCATTCCAAGAACACGCAGGACCCGAGGTCAGCAATTCCCCCCCAAACCAAACCAAGGCACGGCCCCCCCAGCCCAGCCCCAGCAGCACAGCGCAGAATGAGCCCTTTCAGCACAAGGGCTTTGTTTTCTGTGAATTTTAATATATTCTTCTGGAGTCAACAGTGATCACAAGTCCTGCTGTAATGAGGGTTTCACAATTCACAAACCGGATCGCTCCCGTAAGCAAGAGGACAAAGCTGAAAAGGATGGGAAGGGATGTGTTTGGAAAGGTCCTGGAGTCTCAAATACAGCAAGAATCATTTTCATCATATTTTTATGAACACGGACATATCGTACAATATTTTTAGCTGACGTAAAGATTCCACATATCTGTGTTTTGAAACAGCCTCTCTGGGTGCACAGAATTTGCCAGACAAGCCAGACATGTGCCCCAGCTGACAAAAATACAAACTTCATTGCTTGTTGCCCTGGCTGCAGGTGGATTTTTTCTGTCACCCTTCACCCACACCAGCACTGCACACTTTGTGTTGGTCCATCCCAGCCCAGCCTCAACACCTCTGATGTGTCCTCCTCAGCCACCCCTGTTCCAGCATCCCCACAGGGCTCCTCCAGCTGGGAGTCGTGATTTGGACACCACTCCCCTGGTTAAACCGGGCTGCAGAGGCTGCATTAGCACCAAACTGCAGATTCAGCTTTTATTCTTAAGTGTCTGGTGCAGCTTAATCCTTGACTGAGGCAGATTTTGCTCTCTGAGCCAGGGTCACAGCACATGAACCATCCCGGATGTCACCACACTCTGGAGAAAATGTCCTCAGAGCTCATGGAAAAGGCCTCCCCTGCTCGAATTGAACTGAAAGAAATGTATTTTTATACCCAGAGCCTGCAAGTTCCACTACGCCCCCTGAATTGAACCTGCTGTGAGAAATGCTACAATCCACACATTTATCTGCTTGTATTTAAGCCTGGGATTTAAGGCACTGCTATATTTAAAAACAATGACTAAGGAACTGTAAGTTATATGAATCTTTCCTGACAGCCTCTAATTAACCAGAATAGTTCCACCCACAACCTTCACTTCTCAAAGAGCCTCAACAATCTTTCTCTGCTCTAAAATATTCCGAGGTGTCTTGCTGTGGGAAACGGGCTCTCAGCTCACGGCTCGTGCTCTCCCTCCTCCCTGATGTAGGACTAATGTTTGCAAGCACTTGCTCACTCTGAAAGTACTGACTGTGCTCCCCAATCTGGCAGGCCCCGAGTTCCTCTAATCCCGTGTAATTACTGTTATTCCTCCATTGCTCACTCAATCCAAACCAAGATTTTTTTTACAGGAAATCTCAATCCACCAGAGATCCCTTAAAGCACTTCCCTAGGAGTGAGGGCAGCCCTGTAAAGCTCTCTGAAACCACCTAGGAGCTTTTTATTTGATTTTTTTTTTAAGAAAAGCAAATATCAACCATTTCTAACAGAGGAGAAAACCCCCTTTGATTTTGGGGCTGGTACTTCAGAGCCTGGGATCATGGAAGGGATTTGCATCACAGGGATGAAAAGCCTGGCTCCATGTCAGTGCACAGCCACTAACAGCCTCCACTGCTGCTGCCTTATTAAATAATATTTTCTAATGCAGGAAATGAACCACAGTCAATACCTGGGATGCTCAGAAGCAGGAGAATGCTTAGCTATGAAAAATCTCCAAAGTCAGCCAGTATTTAATCTCTCAGGACATTAATGGAGGTAATGCAGAGTTCATACACTGAGAGCTTCCCAACAGCCTCCTCCTGCCCAGGGCATGCTGCTCCCAGAGCCCTGCCCAGCTCCAGTGGCCTCTATCTTCTACCCAGTCCCTTTCTTTTCATCTCTATTTATGAATATTCTGCCTCGGAAGCTGTGCCATGGTGTTTATGCAAGGGCAGGAATGGCCACTCGCTGTGACCAGCAGCTCTCCCAGCAGAGCTTTGCTCCCTCTTGTTCCTTTAGATTCCCAGAAACCTTAAATTCTCTGAAGAATTAAAAGGCAAAGTGGCCAGTGAAGATGAGCCAGAAAGGGTGGAAGGATGTTGGGCAGATTTTGAGAAGAGACTCAAGTAAGGGAGGGTCTCACTGGAGCAGAGCTGGGATGGAAGGAGGAATCAGACACCCCCAAAGGAGCTCCACCACTGCTTTCACCCTCAGCTCAACATGGAGGAACATTTCCTGCTCTTCAAGTACCAAATCTGGGGTTTCCCTCTCCTCTGGGCTCTCCGGCACCCTTCATGCCAGGCAGGAGCAGTGACACCATGACAGGATCCTGTAAATCAGGCCTTGGTCCAGCTCTGCACGTGGAGCTTCCCCACCGCCTGAGGGTCCCAGTCCCTCCCAGAGGGGAGAGAGCCTGCTCTTGAGGAGGAAGGCTCTGGTTTGCCTGCTCACAAGGAGGAAGGCTCTGGTTTGCCTGTTCACAAGGAGGAAGGCTCTGGTTTCCCTGCTCACAAGGAGGAAGGCTCTGGTTTGCCTGTTCACAAGGAGGAAGGCTCTGGTTTCCCTGTTCACAAGGAGGAAGGCTCTGGTTTGCCTGTTCACAAGGAGGAAGGCTCTGGTTTGCCTGCTCACAAGGAGGAAGGCTCTGGTTTGCCTGTTCACAAGGAGGAAGGCTCTGGTTTCCCTGCTCACAAGGAGGAAGGCTCTGGTTTGCCTGTTCACAAGGAGGAAGGCTCTGGTTTGCCTGCTCACAAGGAGGAAGGCTCTGGTTTGCCTGTTCACAAGGAGGAAGGGTCTGGTTTGCCTGCTCACAAGGAGGAAGGCTCTGGTTTGCCTGCTCACAAGGAGGAAGGCTCTGGTTTCCCTGCTCACGAGGAGGAAGGCTCTGGTTTGCCTGCTCACAAGGAGGAAGGGTCTGGTTTGCCTGCTCACAAGGAGGAAGGCTCTGGTTTGCCTGCTCACAAGGAGGAAGGCTCTGGTTTGCCTGCTCACGAGGAGGAAGGCTCTGGTTTGCCTGTTCACAAGGAGGAAGGCTCTGGTTTGCCTGTTCACAAGGAGGAAGGCTCTGGTTTGCCTGCTCACAAGGAGGAAGGCTCTGGTTTCCCTGTTCACAAGGAGGAAGGCTCTGGTTTCCCTGTTCACAAGGAGGAAGGCTCTGGTTTCCCTGCTCACGAGGAGGAAGGCTCTGGTTTGCCTGCTCACAAGGAGGAAGGCTCTGGTTTCCCTGCTCACGAGGAGGAAGGCTCTGGTTTGCCTGTTCACGAGGAGGAAGGCTCTGGTTTGCCTGCTCACAAGGAGGAAGGGTCTGGTTTGCCTGTTCACGAGGAGGAAGGGTCTGGTTTGCCTGTTCACGAGGAGGAAGGCTCTGGTTTGCCTGCTCACAAGGAGGAAGGCTCTGGTTTGCCTGCTCATGAGGAGGAAGGCTCTGGTTTGCCTGCTCTTGAGGAGGAAGGCTCTGGTTTCCCTGCTCACGAGGAGGAAGGCTCTGGTTTGCCTGCTCACAAGGAGGAAGGCTCTGGTTTCCCTGTTCACAAGGAGGAAGGGTCTGGTTTGCCTGCTCACAAGGAGGAAGGCTCTGGTTTGCCTGCTCACAAGGAGGAAGGCTCTGGTTTGCCTGTTCACATCTGTTTAACCCCATTAAACACTGTCCCTGCTTGCTGGATCTGACAGGATCAGTCCGGGATGCTGAGCACGCCCAGCCCAGTCCCAGTCCCAGCCCCAACCACCCCTGCAGGCACTCAGACCTACTGGGCTGCTTCCAGTGATCCCTTTCCAAGGGCAGCCATCCCAAGGGATGCTGAGCCCTCGCTGGGCTGCTCCAGGTGGAGCTGGGCCGTGCCAGTCCCCGGAGCAGGCGGAGATCACTACATCCCACGTCAGCCCTGGTACCCAATCTGCAGCCTCCCAGCCTCAGCAGATGAATCAGCCTAGTGCTTCTATTTTTGCTTCACTCCCGAAGCTATTACTTATCCCTGCTAATGCTCTGGGGTTTTTTTTTTTGCTTTAATCTAACACAATCGTTTCTGTGCAGCCTCTTGCGCTGGTTTCTAAGGCAACATCACTTTCCAGGATGATGAGCTCCTCGGTGCCAGCGTGGTTGGTGTGGTCTCTAATTAAGAGTTATTAGCAAGAACAGCAATCAGAGCAGGCAGAGCCACGAGGACACGCTCTGTGTGCCCAGGAACATGGGATTTACACACCCTGCCCCCTGCGCTGGCACACACACGGGCTGTGGAACCAGCCCTGCCCAACTCATGCTTCACTTCTTCCCACAGGCTGCGAGGAACCAGGCTGAAGGATAAAACCAGAATATTTAGGATTCTGACCACCAGAACCTTGCACTATAAGGTCAACATTGCAAAGGTGAGAAGTTGTACAAACCTTAAACACAGCCTCATGCTTTATAGGATGGGTCATTTACAGATCAAATCCTGCTTTAGAATTTACATGAAAAACCAGAGATCAGCCAAAACCAGCAATCAAACACACTCAGAGTGTTTCCAACTCAATATTTGCTTATTGTGGAGATATTTCACAGAGCAAAGGCAACACAAAGTTCACCAAATGATGCACAAGCCACAGACTGGCAACATCAGCCAGGGAAAGAGGTTTGGAATTCAGATTTCCCAGAAAGTTACACAGCACCACAAGGAAATGTGGTCAGCAGCCTCAGCCTGGCAGACTCTGCAGCCAGAAGTGGATTTGTTTCACTCCCAGCTTTTCTTGGAAATCCAAGTGTCAAGGATGAGCAGGAATACAAAATAAAGGAAGGAGATCAGCCTCAGGAAGGACCAGCTCCAGGGGAGAGCTGGGCATGGCTGCATCAGCTGCAGAGGAACCAGAACTGGGGCAGCAGGGAGGGAAAGCAGCTGGGAAAACCAGGGGCATCTGCAGTGGGGTCAGCTGCTCTGGGCAACCTCGACAGAACACAGAGCTGAGGGCTGGGGTAGCACAGGGAGGGGGATTTAGGTGGGATATTGCCCAGGAATTCCTGCCTGGGAGGTGAGGAGGGTGCCCAGAGCAGCTGGGGCTGCCCCTGCATCCCTGGCAGTGCCCAGGCCAGGCTGGACAGGGCTGGGAGCACCTGGGACAGTGGGAGGTGTCCCTGCCATGGCAGGGGTGGCACTGGGTGAGGTCTGAGGTTCCTTCCAACCCAAACCATTCAGGGATTCTGTGATCCTGTGGGATCAGAGGCCCCTGAGCACCCAGCACTGCAGAGCTGCACCTCTGGAAAAGCATCCTGTAAGCTCAGCTCAGCTCAGCTCAGCTCAGCCCAGCTCAGCCCAGCTCAGTTTTTAGCCAGGGACAGAAGCAACACCTCCCCAAAGCCTTCTGCTCACGCTGAACCAAACTCCCAGGGCAGGAGAGCAGCCCAGGGCCAAGGTCCCCTCCCAAAGCCCTGTGACACTGCCAGGTGACACCGTGTGGGGCTCAGCTCCCTCCCACACCCCCCGGGATAATTAACAGGCCTTTAATTAATGCACAGCCTGCAATATGGTGACTCTGAGCACTTCCAAAGCGTTATCAGAGCACCTCTGCTATTGCCAGCACACAACTGCTGATGATCTCAGGATGACTGGCTGCACTTGCACATCCTCAGCCCCTGCCCTGATTAACACAGCGTTAATCAGCTGATGAATTGCTGTCAGACAAACCCAATTACACTTTGGGGTCCCACAGGAGAACTCCAAACATGGCATGACTGAAAGGTTACTGTGCAAACGCTAGACCCACTTAAAATAATGGAAACCAGGCAGGGAAAGAAAATATTTCCAGCAAGAGCTTCACTGTGGCTGCAAAAGCAAAGCAAATCCTGTCATTAGACAGGGATGGGCATTTCTTGCTTTTAAATGGATTTGATTTGCACACAAACTGTTGAGAAATCTGCCCTGCATGCCACAGGGTGGCTGTGGCAATGGGCACACGACAGCCTGGCACGGGCTGGGGACAGGAGGCAGCCCCAGGGATGGGGATGGAGGGGGGAAAGAGGGATCCAGGCATGAGATGAGCACTCCAGCAGCCCCCACTGGGGCAGGAAGGCAGGAGCAGACTGTCAGCACCACAGGGTGGTTGTGCAATGGCTGCAGAGCTGGCCCTGGGCTGAACAGCTTATGCAAATCAAAATCCATAAGAGGATACAGCCCCCAAACGCTGAAACAAATTAATTTCTTTTTCTAAAATCGACTATTCTTCAAGGACAGATTGAAAAAAAAAATCTTCTGCAATTCTCCCTTTGAAATAGAGCTTGAGGAGCAGAGGGAAGGGGGATGTGAGCAGCAGATCAGAATCTGAATCAGAATCAGAATCCAACAGCCCAGCCCTGGCCCAGTGGAAACTTTCCATCATTCCTGCTTAACCATTCCCCAGCACCCAGCACCTCCTTGGAAATTCAGAATTGAGGATCCTGACTGTCACCTCTAATTCCCAAACTGAGTTTTAATTCACACAAGAGGCACCACAAAGGTTCAGTCACATTGTAAAGGCTGATAATGCCTGTGGTGTTTCTGTTATCAGCTGCCTCCTGACATTAAAAGTATAAAATAATTTTCCAGGAGGCTCTGGGGTAGTTTTTCCAATGGCAACAACAACAACGAGAAGCTGAAATAAACCCAAAAGAGGGATAAGGGATTAAATTTAAGAATTGCACCATCAGCCTTATAGCCAATGTTCCTTAAGCTGCACAGTCAAAAATAGAAAAAAAATAAAATTACACAAGTGTGCAAGGCCTAATTTACAGGAGATGGATCCAACTCCCATCAGAGAGAGGGATCTGCAGCATCACAGTTGCCATGACTCCCGAGGGAGCTGCACCACAGCCCTGGCACTGATTTTAGCAGCACAGACAGGAGCTGATGTTTTCAGGGAAGCATCCTGTTATCCTGGAACACACAGTGTAGGACATGGGAGCCTGGCTAAAGAGATTTCATCACTGAACTTCAGCGGGGGGTCCTCCAAAATGCCTTAAAATGGGAGCAAATCACTGCCTGCCCACCAGGGGAAAGAAACAAGAAAAATGGAGAGGGGCTGGGGACAAGGATGGAGGGACAGGACACAGGGAATGGCTCCCACTGCCACAGGGCAGGGATGGGTGGGAGATTGGGAATTGGGAATTCCCAGCTGGGATGGAATTCCCAGAGCAGCTGTGGCTGCCCCTGGATCCCTGGCAGTGCCCAAGGCCAGGCTGGACATTGGGACACCCTGGGACAGTGGGAGGTGTCCCTGCCATGGCAGGGGTGGCACTAAAGCTTTAAGGTCCCTCCCAACCCAGACCATTGCAGGACCCTGTGAGGATCTCAGGTGTGCAGCAGGAGCCTCCCAGCCCTGCCTGACAGTCCCAGGTGAGGAGCTGGCCATGGTGTGGCCACAGCTAAAGGCACAAACCCCCTGAGCATGCCACTGTTACAGAACAGGAGCACAAACCGGCACCTGGAGGGGACACAGCCCCTGTGACACCTGGACTGCCACAGAGCTCTCCTGGGTCCCTGCAGCCCTGCCAGGGGATGCTGCCACCACCAGCCCTGGAATGGTTACAAAGGTGTGGATGTGGCACAGGGGAATGTGGGTCAGTGGCGCCCTGGCAGTGCTGGGGTTAAAGGCTGAGCTTCCCCAGCCTGAGCAATTCCCTGATCTGTGCCATGAACAAGCACAGGCACCGGCCAGGGATGCCAGCACCCTCCCCTCGCTGAGTGCTGGGCTCAGCTCGGTGCCACTGGGGTGTGAATCCCCTCTGCAGGCACCCCCACACCCCTTGTGCCAGCTGAGGGACCCAGCCAGGCCCTGGGGTGTTTGCAGCTCTGAACAGCTGCTCCAGGAGGGGCCAGCACGGATGGAAATGGAGACAAAAGCCTCGGCCATGGATCTGATCTGTGGGCAGGAGTGCCCATCCCTGAACTCCTGGAGGTGGCACTCAGTGCTCTGGGCTGGGGACAGGGCTGGCATTGGGCACAGCACTCCAACCTCAATGATGCTGGGGCTCTGGCATGGCAAAGCACCCTCAGCTGCTGTGGGAACACAGCTCAGGAGCTCCCAAACAAGCTCAGCCTGGAACCATGGAAGCTCCTGAGCTGGGAGGGATCCACAGGGATCACTGATCCAACTCCTGCTCTGCACATACACCCCAAAATCCCAGCCTGAGCATCCCTGAGGGTGCTGGACAAACACCCCTGGAGCTCTGGCAGGGTTGGGGATGTGCCCATGCCCTGGGGAGCCTGGGGGAATTCAGAGCTGGGCACTCTGAGCTCCTCCTAAAACCCCAACAAACCAAGTGCTGACTCTGCAAAGTGCTGAAAGGAGGAAGCGATGGAAGGTTATCAAAGCCCTGAGTAAACTGACATCAGGACAACTTCCAGGTGCAAACTTTGTGCCAACTTACTCACAGGCTGCAGTGCTACTCTGAGTCAGGGCTCCTCCACTGTTACCTGTTCAAGTTATTCAGGAGGAGCTTCTCCTTCAGAAACTCCTGGCAGACAATGGAAAGGCTTGGAAGAAATGTTGGTTTTGCAAAAGGTGCCGCCTTCAGCTTTCCCTTTGTTTTGTTGCATCATGCACCAAAGAGCATCACTCACTTCTGCAGGCACAAGTTCATGCAGAGAACACCACTTCCACTAAAATAGAACTACTTCAGGTTATGCAACACTCATTAAAATTACAAAACCTCTCAAAAACCTGAGCAGCATGTTAAGGCACTCTGGAGCTCGGGGTCTGGTGAGTTAGTGGCTGCATCATGCAAACTGGCAGCAAGGGACTCTGCAGAACAGCAGCAAACTTCCATGCCTGATGACAAGGCACAAATGGAGAGCACCTGAGGGCAGGGATAAACTCCCTGGCCTGTCTCAGCAGAGTGGGGTTCACAGAGATGCCAACTCCTGCTGAGGAAGCTTCAGAATGAGCACAAGCACAAGAATATTGGTAATCTCATCTCTAGCCGTATTTCAAAATTTCTAAGAACTGGATTCAGTTCTGTGGGATCAATTCCAGCTCATTTCCTATGAGCACAGAGACCTTGTTCCCTGGAGAACAGCCAGGGTGCCCAGCCCTGGATGCTGACCAGCCCATCCAAAGTCTCCTAAGAGGGAAAAAGTCCCAAAATTTACATCAGTCCCACCATTGTTTTGTTCGAGCTGCTTTGGAAAAGGTTTTGGCTTAGAAGGAAACACATTTTGTGGATGAGGAGGCTCAAGCCAAACCAACTGCAGGAGGAGAAGGGGATGCAGTTGGTGTGAGGTGGGATAGAGCCAGACCCTGCCAACAGCAGGGACCCAGAACATGCCCTGCCCTGGCATCCTCCATCCCTGAGCAGGTCAGGGACACTGTCACACCAAACCCTGCACACACACCAGCTGTAACTCAGTCCCACGCTGCCCCAAGGCAGAGCCTGGCACTCAGTGTGTGCCAGCTGTGCCCGTGGGCATGAGCACTGTGAGCCAGGCAAGCAGCCCCAGCACCCTGAGAGCAGCCAGCACCCCTCATGCCACGCTGGGTGCCCGCTGGGGCTCGTGCCAGGGCAGGCAGGCAGCCCTGGGCACACACACACCTCTGTCCATGCGCCGGGGCACGGCTCGGCCCGCCAGGGCTGGCACCAGGGCTGGCACCCCCCGCGCCTTGGTGGGTCTCATGTAGCCCTTGAGCTGCTCTGCTGCCTTCACTCTCTCCTTCTTTGCCTCTTTCACCACTTTCTGCTCTCCTTCTTCTGGCTCTTTAGCTGGGGCTCCAGATTCCTTCTCTTTAGTTACTTCTTGAGATTCCTTCTCTTTGGTTGTGTCCTGAGATTCTTTTTCTTTGGCTGTGTCTTGAGATTCCTTTTCTTTAATTATTTCTTGAGATTCCTTTTCTTTAGTTGTGTCCTGAGATTCCTTCTCTTTAGTTACTTCTTGAGATTCCTTTACTTCAGTTGTGTCCTGAGATTCCTTTTCTTTAATTCTGTCCTGAGATTCCTTTTGTTTAGAGGTGTCCTGAGATTCCTTTTCCTTAGTTGTATCTTGAGTTTCTCTTTCTTTATTTGTGTCCTGAGACTCCTTTTCTTTGGTTTTAGCTGGAGAATCCTTTTCCTTGGTTTTCTCTTGAGGTTTATCCCCCTCAGCCTTTGACACTGGAGCGTCCTTCAGGAGAACCTCCCCAGCATGAGGAGCATCCTTCAGGAGAGCAGGGCCCTCCTCTGCAGGCTGACAGGGACCTTTTTTGTCCTCTTTGGGCTGGTTTTGGGTGGTTTGGGCAGCTGGCCCAGCAGCCTCAGGCTCAGTGCCCTGGTGCTGGGGGGAGCTCTGCTCATTCCTCCTGTCCCTGCCCTGCTCAGCCCCTCCAGCCTTCCTGTCCTTGCCAGCTCCTGGCACACCCACAGGTGTCCCTGCAGGGGCTGGGGACACCCCTGTTCCCTTCTCTGCACAGGACCTGGTGGCCTCTGGTCCTCCTGCCCCCTCAGCAGCTCCAGAGGCTGCTCTGTGTTTTGGATCTACTGCCCCATGAGGAAGCTCTGAGGGAGCCTTGGCAGTGCTGTGCTTTGTATCAGTGGGTTTTATTTCTTTATCACCCACCTTTGTGTCAGTGGGTTTTATTTCTTTATCACCCACCTTTGTATCAGTGGGTTTTATTTCTTTGTCACCCACCTTGGTATCAGTGGGTTTTATTTCTTTATCACCCACCTTTATATCAGTGGGTTTTATTTCTTTATCACCCACCTTTATATCAGTGGGTTTTATTTCTTTATCACCCACCTTGTTATCAGTGGGTTTTATTTCTTTATCACCCACCTTTGCCAAGGGACAAAGGTGACTTTTGTCCTCAGGCTGGCCACCCTGGGACCCAGCCTCTCTGCTCTTCCCACCTTTCTGGGAAATCTCTTTTCCAGGTTCTTTGGGCTGCTCATGAGATCTCTGGCTCTGCATCTCCTTCTTAGCACCAGCTCCAAGCTCTTTGCTGCTTTTCTCTGCTTCCAGAGGAGGAGGAGGAGGAAGGCCCCCAATCCCTGCAGCCCCCTCTCCCTGCTTTGGGAGGCCACAGGGAGCATCAGCATCACCCCCATCCCCAGGGCCACGTGCTGGGCTCTGAGACATGGATTTGAAGTCCCTTCTTTTATTATTCCCAACTCTTTGAGGGCCAGTGGGAAAGTTTTTGATGTTTCTGTTTTCATCTACAAGATCTGTGTCTCCCACCCCACACTCCAGCCCAGCTCCCACTGCAGGCTGTGCCTCACTCCTGTCTGGTTCTGCCTCCAGGGGAACAGGCTGCCTGGAGGCATTTTTAGCCTTTTTACTGCTTCCATCATAGCCCCTCTTTTTAGATCTCTCAGTGACTGGGGCCAGGCTGGGATCTGACACTGCTGGATGCTCTGGAATAGGAGTTTTATTCCTGCTGCAAGGACTGGCACCTCCTGCCTCAGGTTTGTCCCTGATCTCCAGGCCAGCAGGAGGGAACATCTCTGCTCCTGCTTTATGCTCCAGCAGAAAGGGCTGCTGTGGGTCAGGCTCCCCCTTTCTGTGCTTCTCCTCCCCACCTGTGTGTGACTTCCCTGGCTCCAGGGGCAAAGCAGGGGCCTGTGCCTTGGCAGGGTCAGGCAGGTGACCCAGCAGCACCTCTGGACTCCTGGAATTCTCTTTGCCCTCCTCAGACTGAGCTTGTTGAACGTGTCCCACTGCAGGGAAGACACCTGGCTGCATCTCAGGACTGTGCTCAGCCTTTTTGCCTTTCCCATCTCTGCTTTTACCCTTGGGCTTGTCCATGCCCAGTTCCCTGGTGGGACTGTGCATCCCTGCCCTGTGCCCTGGGGATTTATCTGCTTCCTTCCCTTTATTCACAGGCCAAGTTTCCAAGTTTCCTTTCCCTGTTTCTGGCTCTGAAGTCTCTGTTTTACGGCCTGAAAGATTTGGCTGCTCACAGAAGCTCCCAGTGCCACCCTGCATTCTGGGCTTCCCCAGCTCCTCCTCCAGCCTCTCTCTGTGCAGACCAGCCCCCTTCTCCTCAGCCAGGCTCATTTCCTTCCTGCCTGCAGCCACCTGCTCCTGCCTGCCTTCCCCCCCAGCCCCCAGGGCAGCTGCCTGCCCCGAGGGGCTTTTCTCAGCCTGTTTCCTTCTCCCATCACTGCTCCTCTTCCTGGCTTTCTCTGCCAGCACCGGCACATCCGAGCTGAGCCCGGCAGCTCCGGCCTCTCCGCCTTTCCCAGCCAAACCCACCTGCTCTGTGGGGCTGGTGGTGGCAGCCAGAGCAGGGTTTTTGGCTCCCTTTCTGCTCTTCTCCAGCAGCAAAGCTTGGTCTAAAGCTCCCAAATCAGCTGTTTCACCTTGCCCAACATTTTCTTTCGGTTTCTCCGGTCCCAGCTCAATTGGCCTTTGCATTTTAGCTGCATTTTCCTGCAAGCCCCCAGCAGGGACACAGCCCTGCTCTCTGCCCTTGTCACTGCCCTCCTTCACCTTATCAGCTCCCTCAGGAAAACTCCCTGAATCCATCTTATTATCAAGGAAAGGCTGCTGGGAAAAGCTCCTTTCCCCCTTTTTGCTCCTTCCGTCGCTGCCTCTTTTTTTGGGCTTGTCTGCAGGGCAGGCCTGTGCAGCACTGCCTGAGGGGTGTCCTCTGGCAGGAACAGCCTGGCCATTCTCAGGATAAACTGTTTCCTTCCCAGCCTCATCTGTCCTCGCTCCATCCTCTGAGAGCATCCCCTGCTCTGAGCAGCTTTTCATTCTTTTGCCTCTCCCCTCACTGCGCTTTTTCTTTGGCCTGTCTGTGCTGTGTGCCAGCCTGGGCTCTGTCCCAGCCTGCTGCTCACCCTCAGGGACCCCTTTGCCCTGCTTTGGATCTGCTGCCACCCCCGTGTCCCCTGCCTCGCCAGGGCTGGGAGGTTTGGGGACACCCTGGGCCCTGCCCTGCCCAGCCGGAACTTCCCCAGGTTCTGGTGGAACAGGAACAGGAGCTCCAGGAGCGTCTGTGGGGCTCCTCAGCGCTCCCTCTGACCCTCTTCCCCTTTCTGCAGCTGCCTTTGGCTCTGCAGGGAGCTTGTCCAGGGCTGCAGCCTCCAGGTGAGGCTGTTGGAGGGGTTCCCTTCCAAGCCCTTTGCTTTTTTCCCACTTTTTCTTGGCTGCTGTTTCCAGGGAAGGCTGGACAGAGTCACTGGGTGCTTCCTGCCCTGGAGATGGGGATTTGGGCTCCTTGTTTTTATGGGACAGTTCCAAAGGTTTTGTCTGTAAGGGAGCTCCTGCTGTGCTCAGATTGACCTTCAGCTCGGCACCCTTTGGCTCTTTGTCCCCTCTCCTCTCATTTTGCCTGGGGAGGTCTCTCTCTGTGGCCTTGCTGGGTCCCTTGGCTGCAGCAGATTCCTGCAGCTCAGTGTGACCCATCTCTCTGCTCTGGCCCTTGGATCCCAGCCCCCAGCTGGCAGCTCTGCTGCCCTGTGGCTCCGTCTCCTCCCTGGGGCTGCCGTCCAGCTCGCTGGGTTTGGGGCCCTGCTGTCCTGGGGCTGGCACAGGGCAGCTGTTTTTCTGCTCCAGGATAGGACTCCCAGGTGTTGTTTTAGCCTCCTGTGGCACATCCAGAGCTCTGCTTCCAGGGGCTGTTGCAGGACACACGGCTGGGTTCTGCCACTCCCCCCCAAAGGGAGCACTCCTGGCACCTCTGCAGGTTCCATTCTCCTCCCAGAACTCCATCCCTCTTGGCAGCTGGTTCCTCCTTTGTTTTGGTTTCTTTTTCTTTTTCTTCACCATGGCACCTTCCAAATCCCAGTTTTCCTGGGGGGGATCTCTGCAGCTCTCCACAGGCTCCGTGGGGACACTGGTGGCCTTTTTGTGAGGAGCCCTAGAGCGAGGGGATGCTCCAGCACCACAGCCAAGCTCCACTGTGGAACAGGGGTCTGCTCTGGGCTCAGGACTCTTCTGCTGTGGGACACCTACAGGATGCTCCTCTGGCACATCTGTGAGAGGCACTGGGGCAGGTTTTGCTCTGCCAAACCCACGGTCCCTGGATTTGGGAGCTTGCCTGACTTGTGCAGTGGGAAGACCTGGAATACAGGAAGCCTGCTCAAACATCAAGGCCACTATTTGCTTGATAAAAGAAATAATAAATATATTCTCTGTGTGGCTGCAGCCCTCTCAGACAGGCCCTACAGGCAGGATTTCCCACTGGAACCACACCAGAGCCACCTCAGGAGGGCTGGGGTAGGCATTTACCCCAACACCTGTGTGATCTACCCCAAATCCATCCACCAGTGCTATTTAAACACAAGTCTGACACAGGCTCTTACCCCACCAAAAAGCACCAGTTCTTGCAAGGACATGCCATTGCTTTTTAAAAATGCATTAAGGATCCATTTTGTCTCAGCAAGACAAGATCAGAGAGAGCCTTTTTATATCTCTAGCTGGCATCCTTCCAGAGTGGGAAAACAGAAGTTTAGTGGGAAGATGGGAAGAGAGATGGGGGCAAGAGAGCCAAGTTTCCCCAGCAGCCAGGGAGGAAGCAGGGGGAGGCAGAGCCTCTGTGCCAGGGTCACCTCTGTGTCCCTGGGGATCCCTCAGGGTGAGGAGAGCAGCAGCTGTTTGTCACTCAGCCCTGGCCCACAAATCCTCCTCCACACAAGTGTGAGCAGCACCAGCCCCTCTGGAGGCTGGGTCAGTGGAGCAGGAGAAAATCACATCTTCCTTTGGCAATTGCACAGCTCACTTGGGAAGGAGATCCTCCCTGGAATATCCTCACGAGAATTACCAGTCCTTTTCAACAGCAAAATAAAAGCCAGTGCTGATGGCAGAGATGGGAGCTCTGCACTGCCCCAGCACAGCTGTGAGCCAGTCCCAGTGATAAAGCACTCAGAGCACAGGGATTTGGGCTTTTAGTCTGAGTGGGAGGGGAAAGAGCCTTGGAGAGGGCAGGGATCCGAGGGGAAGGGTGAGCCCAGCACCAGGAGCCCCGAGAGCCACACAAAGACATTTCTGCTGGCCCAGGTGGCCCCACAGCCAGGAGCAGAAGTGAAGAGTTCCCAGAGGAGGTTTCCATGAGGAAATGGAATTGTTTTTTATGTTATCATTTCTGTCCTACCTGTGGGCTCCTGCAGGGCTTTCCCTTCCTGAGGTTCTGCGTGTTGGACGTGGTTGTGCTCAGCCTCCTCCTTCTGTGTCTCACCATTCTCAGCAGGAGCAGATTTTTCTGGAAGGTCTTTATTGTCTAGTGCTCCTTTTGCTTCAGCTGGAACATGAAAGACAGGAACAGAAAGCTTCAGGTCTCAGGAGTACAGGCAGCCTGCAGCTAAACCTAGCCCTTGCAAAGGGGTTAATTTTGTGTTTAACAGGAATGAGGTTTATGACACATGGTTGGTTCATGCCCTCACAATCCCATTTCAGCAGCACTTTTACATTTGGCACACGCCAAGGTGGGGGCAGAACAGAAGCAGGGGCTGTTTCAGGGCTTTTAAGCACAGGGTGAGGGTTTGTTTGGGTTTTTTCCTCTTTGTAATCAGCCCAGTTCAGACTGTCCCAGCTTCCCACTGGGAATTCAAATCCAGAATGAACTCCATTATCAGCCTGGAGTCCCTGGCTAATGCTGATCATCTTGTATTCATCTATACCTTCCAATACATGCACACAGCCACCACAACATTCCTCACTCTGCATAATTACAGCCAGTTTTCATTTGTAAGGCATAATTACAAGGGAGAGCAGTTCTGCCTGTAATTAATTTTATTTAAATTTTGCACAGAAAGGGAAACGATGACAGGCATTGGTGCAAGAGCCGTGCAGGGGGAAGGAAAGGACAAGGGCTGTGACTGAGCCCCGTGTCAGCAGGCACTGAAAACCTGCAGGGGCTGCACCCTGGGGCCTGGCCCTGCCTGCCTGGGCAGAGCTGTGCCCTGCTGCATTTCCCACCTGCTGCCTCCGGGGGCTGCTGGCTTTTGCCGGGAGTTTCCTCCTCCCCGGGGCTCGGGGGAGGTTTCCTGTCCTTCGTCTCCTCTGAGTGATCCACACAAACTTCAGGGGCTTTGCATTCCGCCTCCACCTTTGCTGCTGCTTCTGTAAATCGAATGTGAAGAGTAAAAATTCCTGGGTTTAAATATAGATCAGATTAAATTAGATAAAATTCACTCTCTCGCCTAGTTTTTAATCCTCTGTAAGGAACTGAAGGGTTTCCTCACTTTCAAAACCTGATTTTTAGGATCTTTCTACCTTCCTGCATTGTCTTGCATTTCCTCTTTCATTCACCCACCTGGTCCTCTCAGTCTCTACATCCCAGTGGGTGTTTTTGTTAAAACTTCTCTCTTGAAATTTATCTTCATCATTAAACTAAGGAGTATTAGAAGGTAAGAAAAAAAACATCTCACTCCAACCCCATCCACAACCAAGCCACATATGCTGCCTCTGCCCAGGACTATTTGCTGCATTTTAGTAATATAAATATTCAATAAGTACAATTTTGGAGAGCAGTTTTCTCTCCAGAGGGATGGTGTCCCTGGAGAAACCCACACAGCACAGCAAACCTGCACATGGAGAACCAAACACGCCCTTCCCAGCATTCAACACCTACAGTCATCCCAAGGAAAGGTCCCAGAATTATCAACTAAGCCTTTTAGGCTCTTCAGAAATTGTTTTCAAGAACCTCTGTTTGTCAGCTCTGTGTCCTACAGGACCTGGGAGATTCCAGGGAGAGCTGAGGGCGGTGGTGACACAGAGCCAAGCACCAGCAGGGATGAGCCAGCACCTCCCCATGGCTGTCCTCAGACCACTCAGCACTGCTCAGAATGGCAAATGACAATTTAAAAATCATTTAAAACCTCTGGTTTCATGTTTGGTAAGTGAAGAATCCCCATGATGCATTTTCTGTGTCTGCTGAGAGCAGAGCTGAGCCCTCCTCAAGGTGCTTCACCCAAAGCCAACCAATGCTGGGCTCCCTGACCTCAGAGGCTTTTCCAACCTGAATTACCCATGGCTGTGACTGGGATTTGGGCACACTCACCTGCAGCAGCCTTGTCCTGCTGAAGGGCAGCCTCAGATGTCAGCAGCTCCCCAGACACAGCAATGCTGGGCTGAGCTGCCACGTTCCCACCATTCACAGCAGGGACAGGCTTGGCTGGAGCTGCAGGAGCAAACCCAGAATCCAGGCCATGGTGATGGTTGACTTCTGCTGCTGGGGCAAACTCAGAGCCCAGAACGTGCTGAGCTTTGTTATCTGCTGCTGCAGCAAATCCCAAATCCAAGGTATGGTGAGGTTCTGTGTCTGCTGCCGGGGCAAACCCCAAATCCATGGTCTGCTGGGACTCCACATCTGCTGCTGGAGCAAATCCCAAATCCATGTTCTGGTGGGACTCCAAACCCGCTGCTGGGGAAAATCCCAAATCCATGTTCTGGTGAGATTCCACACCTGCTGCTGGAGCAAACCCCAAATCCATGTTCTGATGGGACTCCACATCTGCTGCTGGGGCAAATCCAAAATCCATGGCTTGGTGGGACTCCACACCTGCTGCTGGGGCAAATCCCAAATCCACGGCCTGGTGGGACTCCATACCTGCTGCTGGAGCAAACCCCAAATCCACCCCATGGTGGGATCCAGCATCTGCTGCCGGGGCAAACACGTCATTGACACCTCTGGCAGGGCTGGCTTCAGGTGCAGGAGCAAAGCCCCCATCTGTGGCCTGGAGAGGGCTGCCTGCTGCTGCTGCAGGACTCTGGGGAGGTTTGGCGTCTCCAGCAGGGCCAGCCCCAGCTTTCTCTGCAGGATGGGACGCGGTGTCGGTGGTGGGAACAGAGGCTGCACCTGGCAGGGACAGAGGCACCACAGGTCAGGGACAACCCATGGAAACTTCTGACCTGCTGCTTTGTGCCTGGGGAACAGCCAGGCTCCCTCCCTGTGTCCCCTCCTGCCTTTCAGCACCACCTCCTCCCCTGGCAGCAGCTCACCCAGGTGCTCCATCCTTATCCCCTGCTGCAGCCCCCGTGCCCTGTGTGCACCCCTGGCTGCAGAGGGGCTCCCATCTGCTCCAGCAGCAGGGATTGCCTCTGTGCCAAAGCTGCCCGATGCCAAACAGCTGGCAGGGGGCCAGGGCTGCTGGATGCTCTGCCAGGAGCACATTCCAGCAGAGCCCAGCATGGCTGGAGCTGCAAGGCACCTTCGAGATGTCCCGGCTCCAGTCCCGCTCCCTTCTCCTGGCAGGGACACCTCCCACCACGCCAGGTTGCTCCATCCTGGCCTGGGACACTTCCAGCAGCCACAGCTTCCCCAGGAAAGCTGGTTTTCCCTCTGCTGCAGGACACAGAAAACGTGGGATCACCTGTGTGAGCCCAGCAAGTTTTCTAAGAGCAGAAGTCCCGTCACCCTCCAAAGCCACACACTTCAATGTAAACATGGTTTGTGCTGCTGGTGGGGTTGGGTTGGTGCTCCAGCAGCAGCTCTGGCACTCCTGACACAAAATCCTCCCACGAATCCCAAATTCCCTCTATTCCCTCAAATTGGCCTCGTTCATTTTTCACACTGTATCTCCTAACACTGAGCTGGTAGCTCCAAACCAACATTTGTCACTTCACAGCACAATCAAAGCTCTGCATTAAAGCTCCTATTTGCCTAAAATCCCCCTGAAGGAGGTTTTTCAGTCAGTTTTTGTTTAACGTTTCAGCTGTCCAGAGGCAAGCTTTTCCAAATGATCAGAGGCAGAAGCAGTGGATCTCTGTGCTGCAGCTCCTCATCTCGACAGCCCCAAGCTCTGCCCACCCTCTGTGTCCTGCAGCTCAGTGCCCTGAACATCCCCCATCTATTGCTGACGACCAAAAAACAACATTTCTACTGATTTTTTGAGTCACATCTAAAAATATCCTCCCCATCCAGTGGAAAACGTATGAAATCTAATTTAGATGCTTAAACTGAAGTCAGAAAGAAATAGAAAAATCAAAAAAGCCCCTTGTAAAATGGTACTAAAGGATCCATTTAGATAAAACAAGTATTTTAGTGAACCAAAGCAAGAGGATCCATCATGCACCAGCCCTCATTTGGGTTTGACTTTGTTGTGGGTTTTTTAAGTGATATCATGATCTTCTCCAAAGAAAACATAAAGGTTGTGATTTAACATGTGAATAAGACTGTAAATAGATATTAAAAGCAGTATGGATGATTCCCGGAGAATTAGGGAAATGAGTGGGATGAAGATTAGGAAACTGGACAACAACTGGCACTGTGAGTCTGTGTATAAATACGTTAAAAATGGGTTTTTTTAAAAGAGAATCTTTAAAAGGACAGATTCAAGGTCCTTGTGGATAGATGTGGCAGTTGGGGCCGTGGGCCAGTGCTGGGGAAGGGTTGGACCCAGTGACCTCAGGGGCTTTTCCCCCTAAACCATTGCCTCCCTCTGCTGTAACCACAGCCTTGGGATCTTCCTGGAGCTCAAACGTGGAGACAGCAAAGAGCCACGGAATCAGCTCCAGGACTGGGACACAAGCAGCAGGTTTGCTGCTCCTCCCTCAGCTGCAGGCACACAGATCCGTTCCCACCTTGCTGTGTTTCCCCCAGGAGAGGCAATCCCGTGTTCTGCCCCCTCCAGGGTGCAGGGCTCACCTGGAGCTGCAGCCTTGGCTCCCTCGGGGGCTGCAGCCTCTGCTGGCAGGGCTGGGGCTGCGGCAGGGGGGCTCCCCGGGGCTGCTGCTGCCGTGGGGCTCTCGGGCAGGCTCGTCCTTATGGCTTCTGTGGCTGCAGGGGGCACTGCCAACACAAGAGCTGGCATCAGCTCCTGGAGAGGCCTCACCCCCAGGTGCTGCCTCAGCCACCGCGGGGAGGGAATCCCCCTCAGCTCAGAGAGAATCTGCTCTGATTGCCCACCCTCAGGAAAGTAATTGGTGCAGCACCCAGGAAAACTCTTGAATCCCAGGAGAAGTGGCAAAGTTGGGGAGGGTTGTGCTACAAACCCTCCCAGTGCCACCCCCAGCTCCAGAAACACTTCCTACCCATCACCAGGGTGAAACTGTTCCCAGCTTCTTCACAGAAATAAAGATCCCATTATGGGTCAAGTTTTGTAATGCACACAAATCCCAGTGGGATAATGCTCCAGTGGAGCTTCAAAGATTTATCTGTGACCAGAATTTAAAGGTAATTGTAAAATCCCAGGAAGGTTTGGGTGGGAAGGGACCTTCAGGATCATCCTGAGCCACCCCTGCCATGGCAGGGACACCACCACTGTCCCAGGGACACCTCCACTGTCCCAGGCTGCTCCCAGCCCTGTCCAGCCTGGCCTTGGGCACTGCCAGGGATCCAGGGGCAGCCACAGCTGCTCTGGGCACCTGTGCCAGGGCCTGCCCACCCTCCAGCCAGGAATTCCTTCCCAATCTCCCATCTAACCCCACTCCCTTTCAGTTTAAAGCCATTCCCACTCCCCAAAGACTCATTTCCATTGTAAACTGATGTGAGCAGCAGAAACAGTGCTGTCCTTGGCCAGCCCCCACGTGGCTCTGTCCCAGTCTGGTGTCCCTTGAGGAGGCAGACAAGGAGAGGAGCTGGTTCTGCTGCTCAGGAGCTCTCTGCCAACACCTCCTACAGATCAGCTCACAACTGGTTTTACCTGGTGGCTCAACAAAGTAAGAGGTATCTGGTCCCTTCATGTCCTGCTGAGCTCCCATCCAGTATTCTTCAGGGGCTGTGGGAAACAAACACACTGAGTCCAGCCCTGACCTCACAGGGCTTTGATTTCCCAGGGGAAGGTTTGACTCTGCTGGCTCTGGGGTTCATCCCCAGGGAATTTCAATTCCCTCTACAAGGGGCAGCAGAACCTCTGTTCTCCCAGGATTATTGGGAGTGAGAGCTCCCATCAGACAGAGTTACACCCAGCACTGACCCCAGGAGCCAGAAGAGGAGTTTCTTTCCTCAGTTCTCCTGGGCAAGTGGCTCTGGGTAGCCCTGCCTAAGCAGGGGGCTTGGAAAAGTTCCAACCTCACTAATTCTGTGACCTCCTAATGTAGAATCCCAGCATGGTTTGGGCTGGAAGGGACCTTAAAGCTCATTTCAGGGGCAGGAACACCTTCCACTATCCCAGGGTGCTCCAAGCCTCCTCCAACCTGGCCCTGGGCACTGCCAGGGATCCAGGGGCAGCCACAGCTGCTCTGGCTGTGCCAGGGTTAGGGTTTGGGTTAGGGGCTAGGGGTTAGGGGTTAAGTTCACACCAGAACACTCCCCTGAACCAAGAGCTGTCCATGCCAAGAGGAAACTTTCCAATCTTGACTCATTTTTTGTATCAACTCCTCACCAAGGTTCTTTCGGACTCGTAAAGTGGGATTTCCCAGCTGCAAACCCTCCAAACCCAGCCAGTCAGAGGAAACATTTGCTTCTCACCTGCTTTTCCTGGCAGGAATTCTGTGCCTGACTCAAGGCCTATGAAGGCCGACGGGTCCAGAGCCTCTGCAGGGGAATACAGGGACCCCAGGAAAGGCTGTTCAGGTCCCATCATGGATCCATGTGGAGCTAAGGAAATAACAAAACTTTTGTTAGTCACCAGCCTTAATGGCATCTCTCCTAAATTTCAAGTCCTACCACTTGGACTGTTCTGCTCAGCAGCAGTTCAGATCAATCTGCATCAAATGTTAGTTCTGCATCACAAACCATAAATTTTGTATTTAACAGAACCTTCTGACAAGGTTTAAGAGAGTAAACACAGGCAAATTATTTCCTTTAGCTTTCTGCTTCTGCTCCCATGAATTCCAGCTGGTAATCCCTTAATAATCCAATATTGGTATAATAATCCAAGAGCTGAAATCCTGAAGAGCATTTTGCAGCAACAGCTCCTGAGTATCTGGGTTTCAGCCATTAAAACAAGAGCAGGGGAAGAAAAGGCTTGTGAATTTACAGCTGTAGAAACCTCCCTCGTGGATTCCCTGATGTGGAGACCCCTAAAAAGTTCTGGGCCAGGATCGAGAGATGGGTGGGATTTTGGGTTTTTCAGTCTTCAGGTTGTTGTTTATTTTTCTCTTATCCAAAGCTCTGCAAGCTGCCTACATCTCAGACTTGGTGTACAAAGAGAAGTCACCAAAAATCACACGACACACAAGTTCAAGGCCTTTTAAAACTAGTTTGCCCAATTAACTCTTAGAATGTATTTTAATTCTACCTTCCTACTAAGAAAGGTAGAAACGGGTTCCAACATCAAACCTGAAGTTTCAGTACATGAGAATGAACCTTCAACCAACACCGTGGAGTTCCAACGTCAACCTGAATTTCCAGCACAAGACAGACAGGAGAGCCGAGTGCCCAGCTGGCAGCTGGGGAGGGCTGTGCAGGGGAGCTCACCCAGGATGTCCCTGGCAGCGTCAGCGTGGCCCGGGAACAGCGGCGCGCTCTTCATGTCCGTGGGGAAGGACAGCTCGGGCAGGTTCTCCCCTCCGTGCATGCTGAAGGGGTCTGGCAGAGACACAACAGGCAGGGACACCACTCAGGGACAGGGACACCACTCAGGGACAGGGACACCACTCAGGGTGACAGGGACACCCTCAGGGTGACAGGGACACCACTCAGGGGTGACAGGGACACCACTCGGGGTGACAGGGACACCACTCAGGGGACAGGGACACCACTCAGGAGCACCACTGGAACAAGAGGAAGGAGATGCAGCAGGTCCCAACGCTGCACTTCCAAGGAAAGGCTGCTTTTGGAGCAAACCCCTTCCCAATTAGAATTCACACCCTCAGTAGCTCAGGCTGATTTTTGGGGAAAGTGGATCATGACTGCTCCTGGAGAAAGTGTGCCCTCCCCTCCAGGAGGAACCACTTGCCCTGATGGACACAGCCCATGAATCTGAGTCAGGAACAAGGGCTGGGCTCAGCTCAGCCCAGCCCAGAGCAGGGAAAGGTGTGGGATCCCTGAGCTCTCCCAGCCATGAGCTGCACCCCAGTATGAACTGGGCTGATGGACTGGTATTTTAACCAAATTACTGGGAAATTGAAACATCCCCCAGTGTCCCAGGCAGACTGTCCCACCCCTGGCAGTGTCCCAGGCCAGGGGGCACAGGGCTTGGAGCAGCCTGGGACAGTGGGAGGTGTCCCTGCCATGGCAGGGGTGGCACTGGGTGGGCTTTGAATGGCTCCGTCTGGCAGTGGGAGCCATTCCCTGTGTCCTGTCCCTCCATGCCTTGTCCCCAGTCCCTCTCCAGCTCTCCTGGAGCCCCTCCAGGCCCTGCCAGGGGCTCTGAGCTCTCCCTGGAGCTTCTCCTCTCCAGGTGAGCACCCTATTTCCAGACACTCAGATTTCCTCCAGTTAAAGCCAGCTCAGGGGGATTTGGTTCAGGGCTGGGGCTCATTCTCATGCCAGAAGTGCTCCCTGCAGGGCTGAGAGCCCTGAGCTGCTCCCATGCCCACAGTGGGCTGGGATGTCAAGATCAGGTGAGCTGAGCAAATTCCTTCATAAACCTGTCAGATTATTTGAGATGCCAAGACAACATCTTGCCTCGGAGCAACATGCAGAATATTTTGATTTTGAGCTGTTTACAACAATACTGCCAGGTTTGAACAACTGCTTTCTTTCCAGTTAAAGAACCAACCCCAAAAAACAAGGGAAAAAAAAAAAGAGCATGACTGAAACAATTTAAAACTAGAAGAGATTCTGCTGATGTTCCCTCTTTGCCCAGCAGTTGAATGATGTGGAAGAAATGGGCAGCTCAGATCTCTGGGCCAACCCACCTCTGCTCCAGAGGGAATAAGGGAGGAGTGGGAGAGCTGAAATTTCCCCTCTTTCTTCCCAAGGAACAAGGAATTACAGGGATACTGGTCAGGGGATCCTTTGTACCACTGGCCAGAGAATCCTCTCCTTGGGAGGGAAATCATCCTCCCATTTTCCAAAGGGTGGGCACACCAATATTGAATAAATCAAATTATTTCTCTGAGTCTGATCTCTGCTCCATTATAGGAGCTCTAAGCAGAATCTCATTTATATCCAACTGGAAGAGCAACACAGGGGACACTTTGATCCTGAACTTTATGTGATCCCTGCAGAGGTGTGCAAGACACTCCAAGGACATAAAACCTAAAGAAATGTGGTTTCATGCAACAAATAAACTAAAATATTCCTATTATTCAGGCCAAAAGAACACTGGGTGCCAGGCCAGGTATGTAAATTGTTCCTAATTAACAAATTTGACATCTGGCTCTTGAGCAGAACAACACCAATGTCCCATTCCTGCACCCACTAAGCAACAGGAGGGAAAACCCAAGAAAGCTGTGGCTCTTCCAGTTCTTCCATTAATCATTTCTTATCCTTGTAAAAATACAACAGTTCTTCACAGTCAGTAAGAAAATCATGCCCTAAGCAGGCCTACAGTACTCAAAAATATATTAAAAATAAGAAGTTCCATCCTGTATCTTCCCAGGTTGATTGCCTGGGATAATCTGGGCAGGACCCACATTTCTTACGCGCTCCTGGAGCCAGCAAGCAATTTCATTTCAAAAAATGAGGGGGGAAAGGAGAATATTGAGGGGAAGCTGCTGGGTGAAAGTGTATCAATGTGCAGGGCTGGGTGCAGCTCATGCTCAGCAGTGTCAGCAGCTGCAGAGGTGTGGGACAGCCCCACTGCAGGGCAGGATGTGACACAGGGACAGGCACTGCCTGGGGACACTGCAGCTCAGAGGGACACATCTGGGGGGGTCTGCACTGAAACCCACAGTGCTCACAGCAGCTCAGCTGTGGGAGTCCCCCAAAACCTGCTCTGGGCATAGAACCCCAGAATTATTAGGGCTGGAAAAGAGTTCCAAGACAATCAACTCCAACTTTTGACCAAATACCCCCAAAATACATCACAAAATGCTGTGTCTGCTCAGGCTTTGAACAATTCCAGGGATAGGGACTCAGCACTGCCCTGGGCAGCCCCTGCCAACACTGAACCTCTCTTTAGTGCAGGAATTTTCCCAATATCCACCCAGAGCCTGCCCTGGCCCAGCCTGGGGACATTCCTTCTGCTCCTGTCCCTGTTCCCTGGGATAAGATCCCAAATCCCCCTGGCTGTGCCCTCCTGGCAGGAGCTCTGCAGAGCCACAAGGGCCCCTGAGCCTCCTTTGCTCCAGCTGAGCCCCTGCCCAGCTCCTCAGGGATTCTGCAGCCCCTGCCCAGCTCCTCAGGGATTCTGCAGCCCCTGCCCAGCTCCCTCAGGGATTCTGCAGCCCCTGCCCAGCTCCTCAGGGATTCTGCAGCCCCTGCCCAGCTCCTCAGGGATTCTCCAGCCCCTTCCAGCTCCCTCAGGGATTCTGCAGCCCCTGCCCGGCTCCCTCAGGGATTCTGCAGCCCCTGCCCAGCTCCCTCAGGGATTCTGCAGCCCCTGCCCAGCTCCTCAGGGATTCTCCAGCCCCTGCCCAGCTCCCTCAGGGATTCTGCAGCCCCTGCCAGCTCCCTCAGGGATTCTGCAGCCCCTGCCCGGCTCCCTCAGGGATTCTGCAGCCCCTTCCCAGCTCCCTCAGGGATTCTGCAGCCCCTGCCCAGCTCCTCAGGGATTCTGCAGCCCCTGCCCGGCTCCCTCAGGGATTCTGCAGCCCCTGCCCGGCTCCCTCAGGGATTCTGCAGCCCCTGCCCAGCTCCTCAGGGATTCTGCAGCCCCTGCCCAGCTCCCTCAGGGATTCTGCAGCCCCTGCCCAGCTCCCTCAGGGATTCTGCAGCCCCTGCCCAGCTCCCTCAGGGATTCTGCAGCCCCTGCCCAGCTCCTCAGGGATTCTGCAGCCCCTGCCCAGCTCCCTCAGGGATTCTGCAGCCCCTGCCCAGCTCCCTCAGGGATTCTGCAGCCCCTGCCCAGCTCCCTCAGGGATTCTGCAGCCCCTTCCAGCTCCTCAGGGATTCTGCAGCCCCTGCCCAGCTCCATTTCCTGGACTCTCTCCAGCCCCTCCAGGGCTCTCCTACTGGAAGGGCCCAGAGCTGCCCCCAGGATTCCAGGGGGTCCCTCAGCAGGGCCAGCACAGGGGACAATCCCTGCCCTGGGCTTGTGTCCAGCTGTTGTCATCAGCCCCGGTGCCCAGCCTGGAGATCCCATGGGGTGACAGTGCCCTGAGGGCAGGACCTGGCCCTCAGCCGTGGATCCAGCCTGTCCTGATCCTCCTGGAGCCTCCCTGCCCTGCAGCACGGCCACATCCACACACCATGTTGGCCGTGACCACGGAGGAGTCACCCCATGCCCTCACCCCATCCCCAGGAGGGATCCCCTGAGCAGGGCTGGGCCCAAAACCAAAAACCAACTCACAGGGAGTCCAGGGGCTGCCAAAGGCCATGAGGGGAGCAGGAGCCCCTCAGGGATGGAGCCTGCAGGCCATGAGGGGAGCAGGAGCCCCTCAGGGATGGAGCCTGCAGGCCATGAGGGGAGCAGGAGCCCCTCAGGGATGGAGCCTGCAGGCCATGAGGGGAGCAGGAGCCCCTCAGGGATGCCATGAGGGGAGCAGGAGCCCCTCAGGAATGGAGCCTGCAGATCGTGAGGGGAGCAGGAGCTCCTCAGGGATGGCATGAGGGGAACAGGAGCCCCTCAGAGATGGAGCCTGCAGCCCATGAGGGGAGCAGGAGCCCCTCAGGGAGTCCATGACAGGAGGAGGAGCCCCTCAGAGATGGAGCCTGCAGTCCACGAGGGGAGCAGGACCCCCTCAGGGATCGAGCCTGTAGGCCATGAGGGGAACAGAAGTTCCCTCAGGAATGGAGCCTGCAGGCCGTAATTGAGGGGAGCAGGAGCCCCTCAGGGATGCCATGAGGGGAGCAGGAGCCCTCTCAGGAATGGAGCCTGCAGCCTATGAGGGGAGCAGGAGCCCCTCAGGGATGGAGCCTGCAGTCCATGAGGGAAGCAGGAGCCCATCAGGGATGGAGCCTGCAGTCCATGAAGGGAGCAGGAGCCCCTCAGGGATAGGGCCTGCAGTCCATGAGGGGAGCAGGAGCCCCTCAGGGATAGGGCCTGCAGTCCATGAGGGAAGCAGGAGCCCATCAGGGATGGAGCCTGCAGTCCATGAAGGGAGCAGGAGCCCCTCAGGAATGGAGCCTGCAGCCTATGAGGGGAGCAGGAGCCCCTCAGGGATAGGGCCTGCAGTCCATGAGGGAAGCAGGAGCCCATCAGGGATGGAGCCTGCAGTCCATGAAGGGAGCAGGAGCCCCTCAGGGATAGGGCCTGCAGCCTATGAGGGGAGCAGGAGCCCCTCAGGGATAGGGCCTGCAGTCCATGAGGGAAGCAGGAGCCCATCAGGGATGGAGCCTGCAGTCCATGAAGGGAGCAGGAGCCCCTCAGGAATGGAGCCTGCAGCCTATGAGGGGAGCAGGAGCCCCTCAGGGATAGGGCCTGCAGTCCATGAGGGAAGCAGGAGCCCATCAGGGATGGAGCCTGCAGTCCATGAAGGGAGCAGGAGCCCCTCAGGAATGGAGCCTGCAGCCTATGAGGGGAGCAGGAGCCCCTCAGGGATAGGGCCTGCAGTCCATGAGGGAAGCAGGAGCCCATCAGGGATGGAGCCTGCAGTCCATGAAGGGAGCAGGAGCCCCTCAGGGATAGGGCCTGCAGCCTATGAGGGGAGCAGGAGCCCCTCAGGGATAGGGCCTGCAGTCCATGAAGGGAGCAGGAGCCCCTCGGGGATGCCATGAGGGGAGCAGGAGCCCCTCAAGGATGGAACCTGCAGTCCATGATTGAGGGATGCAGGAGCCCCTCAGGGACAGAACCTGCAGCCCATGAGGGGAACAGGAACCCCTCAGAGATGGAGCCTGCAGCCCATGAGGTCCCCCAGCTGCTGAAATCAGGGTGCTCCAGCTCCTGAGCCATCCTACCAGCCATGTCCATGGGCTTGAAGCACAGGTCCCTCTCCTCTGCTGACCAGGTGTCGTTGCGATCCAGGAACTCTTTGTAGGACATCTTCTCATCCATGATTTCTCCTGGGAATACTGACATGGGAGAAGGAAATGACCCAGTCAAAAGCCAAACATTGAAATATTTAAAATGGATTACTGCACTATGTGACATTTGGGTGTGACATCCCCAGGTAACAGGGACTGGCAGCCAAACCAGAGCCCATAATATTCATTTTTGACTGGTTTGATCCAGCTCTTCAAATACAAGACTCAGAATAATGGGCATTTCTGTGTCCTGATGCACATGTAAGATCAAGAACAGACTCACACGGAAGTGCTGTCCTGGTCCAAAGCCCCCAGTTGTACAAAAAGAACAAAACCATAAGTCCTGAGGCTTTAAACAGGACAAACTCAGTGGAAAGGTTCAAAATTAATACCCAGACTAATGACTTTTAGCTATATTTCTGTTTTAAGGACGCCTGAATTTGTCAACTCTTCTGAGGACAACATTAGAGTTTTTTAACTGGTTCCAGTTTCTTCTGGAAAGAAACAGAAATATTTACAGGGACTCCTCTCATCCCCCATACAACATCCTCTGCTCTCTGCCAATACACCTCTTCATGCTTTTAATATTTTTACCTTCACTTAGGCTGACAATACCTGCAAGCCTGGAGCTCAGGAGATGAAATTCATCACAAAATAACTCTGGATATAACCCTTAATTCAGTGTAAAACTGTAGTTACTAAAAACAACCTAATGTTAAGGCACAGAAGGACCAGAAGGGAAGAATTCATTAAAAACATGACCCTGGTCTGTAAAACAACAACCTGGAGGGGTCAGGTGGGCTGAGAGCTCACACAGCAAGGTGGGCAGAGACTCAGCTGTGTTTTTATTAATAATGATGATGATGATAATGATGATGATAACAACAACAATAAAGTTATTGAGAGAGAATAAGATGAAAAATTGCTTTTGTGGGGCTCGGGGTTTGTTTTACATCATAAAACAAGGAAAGGTCACCAGTACAAATCATCAGGTGTGTTCAATAATTTGCTCAGACAGTCTGGGTTTAGAGGAGCAGGAAGAAATTCCTTGGAGTTTGAAACATGTCCAAATCTCTAATTTGGGTAAATATTAAATATTACTTCTAATTAATAACAAAATCAATAATATATATAGTTAATAATTATTTAAATAATTAATAATTAAAGCAATCATTAGAATTATAATACATTTCTATAATAATATAATCTATTAGATAATTTATGTTATGTATGTTATAAATAAATGTAATATATAAATATACAGCATATACATTTTATATATAATATATTATATATACATTATAGGTACTTCATAATATATTTTGCATGTTTCCATGCACATCATTCTACATATTATAATATATATTTTATCATGTATAGTTCATATATTTTCATGTGGTTTATATTATATATTACATTATCTTATATAATGTATACTATATAATACTTCTATTTATATAAATATATGTAAATGATGTATTTTATATTATTCTATACATATTTTTATTTATACACACACACACACACACACACACATATATATATATATATATATATATATATATATATATATATATATAAAAATGCATTTTTGTAATGACTAATACAATTAATGTAAATATTACTTCCAGTCAGGGGTGTGGCCCTGTGAGCCTGCGCTATGTGACACTCACTGTGTGTCTGACATTGTGTGTGACACTGTGTGTGACACTCCCCGTGTGTGACATCCCCAGTGTGTCCCCTTTGTGTCTCCGTTCCCAGGCCAGGCAGGAGCTTCCCAGGGTTTGGATCCCTCTGAGAGTCACATGGAGTGACACGGAGGTGCTGGCACCGTGTCCCCATTGCCACCCTGGGCAGGAGCAGGACGGGAGCTCCACCTGCCCCTGTCCCAACATTCCCACCTGGGTGTCCCCAGCAGGAGCTGCCAGGGGCAGGACAGATCCTAGAGAGATGCTGGTCCAAGGAAACACAAATAAAATGGATTTTTACACTTACACACACTGGGAAAGCCAGGCTGGGAATGAAAGGGGAATTTCAGGGATCACAACACTCCCACCTCTTGTCTCCAGGAGAACCCTGATTCATCCATCCCATCCATCCCCTGCAGCCCTGCCCCAATCCCATCCATCCCCGGGCACCTCTGGAGCTGCTGCCCCTCCTGTGCAGCCCCCAGCAGCAGGGCCTGGCACGGGCACGCTGCTTTGCTGCCAGAGCTCTCATTCTGCTCAGTGGCTCCATTTGCCATGGCTGACTGCAGCAGGGCACTCAGCAGCTCCCAGGCAGGGTGACACCACCTCTGCCTCCGCTGACAAAGGACAGGGGGACACGGGGGACAACAACCCACCGTGTGTCCCATTGAAAACCAAACCCAGCCTGGGCAACGCTGCCCGAGCCTGCAGCAGCTCAAAGCCTGATTATTCAGGAGAAAAGTATTTTATTAATATTTTATTTGAGAATATAACATAATTTTGGTACTATTTCATTTAGCTTTGCAAAGTGCTTTGGAGACAAAGTGCCACTGCAATGTGTCAAGAGACATTATTATTATTTACCATTATTTGTGGTACAGAACAGCAAGGGATTTAATTAGATTCCACTGTAAATTCCTCTAGACAGGAGCCTGTCATTCGTGTGTCTATAAAACTATTTAAGGCAAAAAAAAAAAACAGAAGACACTAAAAGTCCTTGACAGTGTGAGGAAGAGCCTGGGAGCAGTTAAAACATTCCAAAACTTCCTCAAAGATGATATGATGATATTATGACATTAACAGAGTGCTGGGCTGGACCCACACTGAGGCTGATGGAGAGCACCCACTGCTTGAACTCTGAATATTTGAAACAAATCAATTTGTTAGCACTAAAAATATATTGGCATATTGCCATGATGAAAGATTTCACAGGGAAGAACATAAAATTAGGGTCAGAAAGGTAAACCTGAATAAACCCCTTCACTTTGAGGGGGTTTAGTACCAGGTTGTGCTCATGCCTTTCAATACAGAGGGGAACCACACCCGGGGCTGGAGAAGGAGGGAGCAGCAGGAGACAAAAGGAATTGGGACAGGAAATATTTCCATTTGCCATCAGATGGAACCAAGTTGAGCAAAACTCCGCCAGTGTTTGCAAGCCCTGAGCTGCAGCAAAACCCCAGAGCCGGCTGCAAGCTGCATCAGGAGCAGTTGGGAGCTGCCTCTGCCAAATCCTTCCAAATCCAAACCCAAGACTGGAATATTCTTCACACAATATTTTCACAACAGATGCAAATGAAAAACCCAAAGCAGGCAGTGCTTCCCAGCAGGAATGCCGGTGCAAGGAGGGATGCAGGCAGCTCTGGAGCAGGGAGAGCAGAGCAGGGCCAGCCACAGGGACAAGGCTGGAGCAGCCATCCCTTCCCTGGGCCAGCCAGGACCCAGCTGCCCCTGCCAGGCCAGCACAGCAAAGATTTCTGCAGCACAGCCACCACCAGCAAACCCCCTCTGCTATTCCCACAATGTTTCCCAAGTTATGTGCCTTACCGTGGACACTTCCAGCTTATCTGTCATCCCCACCCCATCCCAATATTCAGTTTCCCCTTATCAAACCTGGAACACAAAATGTGATCTCAGATTTCCCAAGGACTGGGAAAAGAGGATTTTTCAGTTCCACACCCAGGCTCCCCAGACACCAACAAACATCTGATCTACCAACAAACATCACAAAACAACACAAAGGAGAAGCCAAACTCCTCCAAGGCCCAGTGCTGCCAGTGCCCGTGGATGTGCATGGCAGCAGATAATGCACTCCACACAAAATGCAAATCTGACAGATCCCACAGACCTGTAAAGCAATTTTAGCAAGTATTAAAGCTGGCTGATAGCTGAAAATCCGGTTACGAGCCCTGATAATATAAACCAATGTAGGATTAGAGCTTACAAAGTCTTGCTTAAAGGAAAAAAGACCATTAACAACATACTTACAAAGCAAACTTGCTTCTGAGAGGAAAAACAAGGATCCCATGCAAGAAGCACCTTCTGTGCACTGCTCCCAGGGCAGGATGAGGGCGGAACATTTAGCAGGGCTGCTGACAGCGTGGAATTGTTTGTTTGATCATCTCTCTGCACAGGTCAGCTCGGTCACAGCACCCAATTCACAGCTAATCCAGCCAGAAGTGCCCCCGTGGCCACCCACCCCTGTGCCCAGGCTGGGAGCTGGGGCAGGACCCGCTCCTGGAGCTGCTGGCACACAGGACACCCCAGGGAATGTCCAGCCAGGGCTCTCTGAGCACAGGATTACCCTCTAAAGCCTTTTCCCTGCAGGAGATGCTAATCTTGGCAGGTCACTGGCCAGACCTCCAGCTCGGGGTTAAGGAGCTTCAAAATTACTGAGTGAGCAGCCAGGAGAGGGCCCTGCCAGCAGCCAGCAGGGAACACAGGGAGAGGGAGGCCTGGGAGCTCCATTCCTGCAGAGGATCCCAAAGGGAATTTGCCCAGATCACCCTGGCATGGGGAGGCACAGTTGGCCTTGCTGGAGTCCCCAAAGAGCAGCAGTTTTATCAGCCATGCCAATCAATTCACATCCCCCTCTGCAGGTGTGGGATCTGCAGCCTCAAAAAGGAGCTTCAGAATCAGTCATGGAATGGTCTGGGCTGGAAGGAACCTCAGAGCCCCTCCAGTGTCACCCCTGCCATGGCAGGGACACCTCCCACTGTCCCAGGTGCTCCAAGCCCCAATGTCCAGCCTGGCCTTGGGCACTGCCAGGGATCCAGGGCAGCCACAGCTGCTCTGGGAATTCCATCCCAGCCAGGCATTCCCAATTCCCAGTCTCCCATCCATCCCTGTGTCCTGTCCCTCCATCCCTTGTCCCAGGTCCCTCTCCAGCTCTCCTGGAGCCCTTTTAGAGTCCAAAGTGTCCCTGGAGCCTTTCCATCTCCACACTGGATGCTGTAGGGGTTCCACACAAGATTTAGGCTGTTTTGGGAGCACTTGGTGCCTGTGCTCAGGGCATTTATTACCAGGAGCAGCTTCTGATTCCCACTTGAGGGATTTATGAGAACCTTGCCTGCATGTCCTGTC